CATACAGTAAGTCTTAACTGTGATGATGGCATGTGTCCACTCTGCAGTCAGGTAGGTGTCACTGGCCTAGAAATTCCCTAGTCCCCCATTATGCTTCCTCAGAGACACTGGAGGTAATTAATCTCGACCATCTCCAGATTTTTGCCTTTCTCACACTGCCATGGCATTAATTACTGCACATATCTTGTTATAATCTCTCCCACTGCAGAGAAAAGTTTCTGTTCCCAAAAAGCCAAGGGTGGTTCAAAAGAGGTCGAACCCTTAACGTCAAACATCAGCCAGCAGCACTAACAACTCAGGAAGAAGACAGTTCAGTGAGTGGGTCCCGTTACATTCACCATGTTCTTATTTCACCCCATATTCCAAATTTCTGGGCCATAGCCACATCTCGGTGGTTTGGCTCGGCACACTCCTGGACCCCCTTGGCATTGTAGGGCTTTACACAGGAACAGAATGCTGCTATAAAAGACTGTCACGGTAAAGAGTTGGAAGTGACCTAGAAATGTCTTGAGATTCCAGAAGCAAAGTCATATTTGATAGTTTTGAGTATGGATGCATTAATGCTGTCAGTGCTGAAGAAAGTTGTGTGTGGTCTCACGTTCAGTTAGATGTCATATTGCTCAGCGTGGGTTGGTGGGGGAAGTGCCGTTGTCCATACAATTTAGGATGGGAGGAAAGGCACACGCAAATTCCACTATGACGGTAGTGTTGAAGTCAGTAGGAAGCCGTTAAAATTTCTCTCCATAGCTCATAAAGCTCATTAAGTGAATCTCGTAACACCAAATCAGGACCATCAGCTCACTGATCTCACTGAAGCTAAGCATTTGGGACTATAACAAGTTGTGAATTTGGACGGGCCTACAACTGTCACTGTTAAACATAAAGGGGCACACCTCTAATTCCAGCACTTGAGAGGTGGAGGTAAGAGGCTCAATTGTCAAGGTCATTTTCAGCCTGATCTGTGAGAGACACTGTTTCCAAAAAAAAAAAAAAAAAAAAAAAAAAAAAAAAAAAGAGATTACCCCAACCCAGCACCCAGCACTGAAGAGGCAGAGGCAGGTGAATTTCTGAGTTCTAGGCCAGCCTGGTCTACACAGTGAATCCTGAACAGCTGGAGCTATATAGACAGACCCTGTCTCAAAAAAAAAAAAAAAAGTAAGAAACCAAAAAAGAGTGAACATCCTAATCTACCAGTTTTGAAAGTATGGTCAGAAATCCTCTAGAGTTCAGGATTGTGCGCATTATAATGCTGAGAAGTCATTCGCCTTTGTGATTGCTGTGAGCACAGCTGGATTTAAACACAGAACTGCAGGGCACTTGGTGGGAGTCCAGGCTGTGTTGACCAAGGTTTGTCCTCTCCTTTCACTTAAACTGTCCTTGGCGGAGTGGGGGATGGGCTGTGATGCCACAGCAGCGACCAGACAGAGTTCATAAACTCACTAAACAGAAAAAGTCAGGGTTTCTGAGCAACTTCACCATTGTTAGGGAACCTAAAACAGTCTTTCTTCAAATAATACAGCAAAAAGGCAATAAAGGGCTCCTTTTGAAGCAAAGTGTGTGAGAAAGATGGCGGCAGCTGATAGGACGTGTGCAGCGCTCACTCAGACCATCTTTTTAAAAAGATTTTCCAAGCCAGGTGGCGGCGCACGCCTTTAATCCCAGCATACGGGAGGCAGAGGCAGGCGGATCTCTGTGAGTCCGAGGCCAGCCTGGTCTACAGAGCGAGTTTCAGGACAGTCAGGACTGTTTCATAGAAAAACCCTGTCTCAAAAAACCAAAAATCCAAAAACAAAAACAAAACAGATTCAGACCCCTCTAGCAGAAAGAGTAGAGCCAAAAAAATCTAGCAAGGAGAAAAGAACCAAAAATCTAGGTTAGCCGGTTCAATGACTCTGTTCCAGGAACTAGCTGACCATAAAGTTAGATTATAATCTTGAGAATAATCTTGAGAAACAGGGAGTTACCCCCTTGTGATTATCACTGGTATTTTCGGAATTTTCCAATGACGCCCACCTTACCCACTTTAGGTTATCAGGTTATGGTTTCTTCCCTTAAAGACCCCTTCTCCCAGCTACTCAGGGTCAAACTCCTACCCCTGCGTGGGAAATGAGTTTCGGCCCCAGTGCACTGGTTCCTGTCCTATCAATAAACTTCGTGTGATTGCAGCAAAGACGATCTCTCATGAGTTCTTGCGGGGGGGGGGGTCGTGTTATCCCAAGACTTGAGTGAAAGACTCCCCACTCCGGGGGTCTTTCAAAAGAACTATCTGAAGCAAACCTATGCTGATTTTGATCAGACATTTTGATAATCAGTAGTATGGGTCCTTCAACTTTGTTGTCCACTTTCAATATTTTTGTGGTCATTCAGAGAACCAGGTAATTCAACATGAATCTAAGGATTATATATTTCATTTATAAAAATAAAATATCATTGGAATTTTGGCAAGAATTGCATTGAATTTATAGATTTTTCTAAGTAGGGCTGCTATTTAAACAATATTAAACCTTTCAAACCAACTGGCATGTGTTTCCATTTATTTAAGGTCTTCAATTTCTTTATTATTGTAAGGGGGCATGCATGTCATCAGTCCAAGCGGAGGGAGTTGATTCTCTCCTGTAGTGATATTTTGTTTGTATTTTAACAAATAAATTGTGCCTGTAGATCAGAGTGCAGAGCTAAG